GTGAATCCCTTCTTCTTACAAGTCTATACATAATGTAAGGTACGTAAAGTAACTGGCATTAAAATCTTAATTATGTATATGACCTGAAGATAGCGCGCACATCTCGGAACATTTCATAAATAGAAAACATACGTGGCATACAACATATTGGAAAATAAATAATACTAGTTACGTTACACAACACGATGCAGTAAAACAAAAGTGAATCCTGCGTTCTTTTATACGAGTACATTCGTCTTTCCTTTGGCTTAAGAATATAAAAGACCCACTGTTGTATATGTTTCTTTGGAACAGGGAAATCTGCAGTGAGAAGTTGTGCCGGTATTTGTGTACTGATATATATATATGTGTGTGTTCAACATTGTTGTGTGAATCGCGTATTCCATGTTTGCTATAGGCCTACATGGAAAATATGTCCACAGATGTTCTCTTAACAGCACGTCAGAGCTATAAATCTGCTATGTGCCTTCAGTATTTTCCAGAGACCAAATTCAGTTTTATGCTTGAAAACTTAAGATGAATATTTGGTTGCGACGGNTTTAAAGGGATTCGAACCCCGAACTTGGTGCTTGGACATCCAGAGACACGCCTATTGAGGGCGTAGTCAGATTCAGGATCGACATTTGATTCGTCGTCCTTAAAGAGGAGTTTGACCATTCAGACGTATGGAGCACTGGATGGTCATAGGAATTCCAAATGAGGATTCCAATTAAAATGGTTTTTGAAATCACGAGGGGAGAACACCTGCAGGAAGTGCCCATAAGCACGTCTCTCCCCAAAAGGGTGAACCTCTTATTTTGTATTCACTCAGAATTTCGGGGTCTAGACTACCCCATACAGGAAAAGGACAACTTAGAATAAACAAGTAGGGTAGCTCGTGGTGCAGGGGACACTATCACATCTCGTAAAATAATGCGGGGGTTGAATACATATTACAAGGTGTCTATTCCATATGCCGATAAAAAGAAAATAATATATACGCAACTTACAGAACCTGAAGATTCTTTATGATGTTCTGAAGAAACCACAAGTAGAGGCACTGTGTAACGTTTCATTACGTGTTAGTTTCTTTATTGCTAGTGGGGTGGGACTAAGTCCCTTGTACTGCGGCCACTTCTGGCCTATTGTACCAGCTACAGATGATAGGTGAGGGTGATTGTGGAGCAATTGGTGGAATGAAGATTGGCAGGGGAAACCGAAGTACTCGGAGAAAACCTGTCGCAGCGCCACTTTATCCACCACAAATCCCATTTGACCAGACCCGGGATAGAACCCGGGCCGCCGCGGTGGGAAGCCAGCGACTAACTGCTTGAGCTATGGAGCGGACCCAAGTTTTTACAGTGAGAAACTGCTTATCTGCTGCTATGTCCAGCTGGGGAATCAATGCTTGACGGCTGTCTGCGACTCTTTATTCAGTATATTCGCAGCTAGCCACTGTGTTTGGAGGCCGTTTTCTGCATTCCTGGTCTGCGAATACGTCAGACTTTTGTTGCAAAGGACTAATAAATATTGTCCACAGTTTTGCCTACTCATCGTTATAGTCATATTCCCATCTTACCCTGTAGTCGAAACAGCATCACTGATAACCGCAGAACCAATCAGGAAGATATAGTTTCTTTGAAAGCTAGTAGGCCCTGTGACCTAGCACCATATTGTGATATGACGGATGAAAGCCGGAATAGTGGGAGAAGCCGAGGCGGCCATTGGTAGGCGAGGGGGCGGCGATTTCGATTCGGTAGCATCGAATCAACACGCAACAACAGAGGAACCGTTGGAAAGGTGGTTTTCTGTGTGGTCTGCGACGAGGCCATATAACAGAGACCAACTGGAAAAGTCAGTCGGAGGTTAGAGTCGTGGCGAGCAGTGGCAGTTCGTTATTGGCTATGAGGAATCTCCGTTGTTAGTAGCAACGACTAGTAATGACAGAATAACAAACAGAATACATTGTCTTTGTTGTAGTTGTAGCGATTTATATTGTGTTTAAATTAGTAATAATGTTATAATTACATGTAGTTACGAGTTACAGGCGTCCAGTAAATCCAGCTATTAATTCAAACCTCCTGGCTAGTCACTAACATACGACAATTCTTCAATTCAAGGTGTATGTGTAAGAGCCACCAATTTTCTTGTTTCTTGGCTTATTTAACGACGCTGTGTCAGCTCCGGCGATTTTATTTCGTCGAATGGGAAATTACATTAAGATTACGAATTCTGAATTGCAAAAATAATGGAATAGGTAATGATAGTACTATATATAGCTCACTCAGTATAGTGAGCAATCTATGGACTGGACAAGCGGGCTTCGATTCGCCGCAGAGGTAGGGATTCTGCTCTTCATCCAGACCTGATCTTTCCTGGGGTTAAAGCGGCCGAAGTGTAAAGCTGACCACTCTCTTCCTTCTAGTGCCGAAGTTAACAATGCATGGAGCTGTACTTCCACTCCCGCATGCGTGTTAATGGCGTCGAGCTTAGTTAAGCACAGGGGTACGTTATTATGACGTGGTACCTTCTTAAGCACTTTTTTTTACTGTTTACCGGCATTGTTCTTGGAGAAACTAGAAAGTAACGAAAAGCTTGAGTTGGGATATCCTGTCTCTTGGATGAAATTAGAAACGTAAACGGAGACGATCTGGCTGTTCCTTTCTTATTTTTAAATTTGTTTTAAAAATAGTTACACTAGTATTACAACATTACCGTTACTGAAATTCTGAAGTTACCTTCTTCTCCGCCATTCTTGTAAAATTGCCTTTTGGTCTTCATTTCCAAAAATAATGTTTTTTATTGCTAGTGGGGTGGGACTAAGTCCCTTGTACTGCCCCAGCGTCACTTTGTCCACCACAAATCCCACTTGACCAGACCCGGGATCGAACCCGAGCCGCCGCTGTGAGAAGCAAGCGACTAACCGCTTGAGCTATGGCGCGGCCCAAATATAATGTTAATAGGACCGTCTATACAACAATAATATCCACAAACAAAATCGATATTAACGTATCAACATTCCTATATTAGACAAAAGCGTTCGCTACATGTTTCGACCTTCACAAGGTCATCTTCAGGCGAATCTACAGGAATTCGATCTTAGTTCATGAACTGTGTTTCTTAACATGGCTCCATATTTTTACAATATTTTACCACTTGGTCTTCATCAGAAACTTTCATTCTTCCACATTTAATGCCGAGCTTTTCCATTTCCTCTACCATATAAATCTGATAACCTAATTCACATTATCCCCCGTCTCAGTTAGGTCTTCCAATTCCGCCTTTTCCCTCTGCGTTGGTGTCAGACATTCTGTTAGCTGTCCGATTATTGTTCATGCTAATGACATGCCCTGCCCACTTTAGTCTGTCAGCTGTAATGTGTTTAGCCAGTTCTGGCTAGTTATATATATTTATTTATATATAAATTATATAATTTATATACCGTATTTACGCATGTATAGGCCGCACATTTTTTGCCAAAAATTCAAAAGGAAAACTGGGGTGCAGCTTATATTCGAAATATTCGAAATCACACTTCATTAAAAAAAATTAACGTTGCCAAATTTCGGAATAATTTCTACTCCTGAAATAATATTCCAAGAAAATAATTTCTGTCTGAAAATTGTGCTGCGGCCTATACATGCGTAAATACGGTAATTCAAAATTTCACCTTTCTCTCCGTTGCGTTTTAGGCAGTAGAGCCCCAAAGGCACTCAAGGTGCTCTCTCAAACCTGGCCTAGTGCTCTGTTATCTTCCTTGGTAAGTGTTCAAGTCTCGGGGGAACATGTAGCTAACGTCCTTACAAGTAGAGATATTGGTTTTTGGACTTTATCCATCGTCCTGGTTTTAAGATAACTAAGCAAAACATGACGGTTCGGAAACTGGATCTGTTTCCCTCCTCAGGTGAGAAAAACACCTATTCTGTTGGGTCCCTTAGAAAGAGCTAGCCTCAATCACTGGACCAGCTCTTTCTAAGGGACCCAACAGAATATGCGTTTTCCCTCACCTGAGGACGAAAACAGATCCAGTTTCCGAAACGTCGTGCTTTTCTTAGTTATCTTAAAATCTGGACGATGGATAAAGTCCGAAAACCCAATATCTCTGTGTTATACACCATCGTCAGAATCCTATAGTAACTACTTGTCCTTACAAGTATCTTACACATTGCTATCTTTGTTTTTATCTAGGTCAGGTATGATTTCAAGTGCGTAGAAATATCTTCTTGTGTTTTTATTTAAGCACTTATGTCATTTATGCAGTTAACTTCTGATCCTAGATAGGTAAGCCTGTGCACAATTTCAAAATTTATAAGGGTCATCTTAGTGTACTATATTTGCGTAATAATTTTTTGCTGTGTGTGATCCTAAGACATCATATCCAAATGAGACAGGAATAAATTCATTTTATAGCGCTGCCAATTAGTATTCAGGAAGAATCTGCCCTTCAGTTTATTGCCACCATGCCCATATTCGTTTCGGGATGAGCCTCAAGGCTCTTCCCCTCTTCATTCACAGCCTGATGGCAAGTATCCGGCAGTTTATTTGAACATGGTACAGCGATGCAGATAAACTATAATAGGAATGAAGTGTCCTCGTTTGTGACGTCAATTCTTATCTTTCTTTCGTCACGTGGGGGCACTTTACACGCACAGAGGGAACGTGTTACATTGACTTCGAAACCCGTGAGGATGTTCAACACTCGGCAGCATCTGTAAGGAAAACAAGAGGCGAAATTGCAGGCTTGATTCATAACACAGAGAAATCTGCACATTTTTTTTTTAATCTCCTTTATTGACAATCAGATACTACAATCTTTCAGTCAATTCGCTCTCTTGTGTACAATTAGTTAGGAATTGTACACTTCAGTGGCTTGAGTGGGTCACTTCCATCGACGCGTCCCTCAGCTCTTTAGGTCTTCTGGCCACTTTCGTCCAATTCTTCTGTGGTCGTGATGCAGTAAGAGTGGCTGGAGCAGTGGGTTCGGGTGGTTAGCTAATTTGCTGAAGTGTTTGATCCTGTGTTCTTTGATGACTTCTGTGACGTATGGAGTTTTGAGGTCGGTGTGAATGGTGTGGTTAGACACGTACCATGGTGCGTTTACTATGAGACGAAGAATTTTTAATTGAGTTCGTTGGATGAGATCTGTATTTGTTTTGCTGGCGCATCCCCAGAGTTGGGTTCCGTATGTCCAAATTGGTTTGATGACTGCTTTGTATATTATCAGCTTGTTGTCAATGGATAGGTGAGATTTTTTTCCTATGAGCCAGTATAGGTCTTTCATTTTTTGATCCATTTGTTTCCTTTTCGTGAAGATATGTTGTTTCCCGTTGAGCTTGCTGTCAAAGGTAAGTCCGAGGTACTAATCTGCACATGAAGAAACTTTGAGTAAATGGTAATGTATCCCAGTGGAAACAATACCTGCTCTAATAAAATGAAAACGCGTAATGCCGAAATGGAAACGGAAGAGAATAATTTAATGGAAAATAATGTGTTCGAATATTTTGTTCCATGTTCCTGGAATTTATCTGACCACAAGCATTTGTGTCACAAATGGGAGAGAATGCAGGCGAACCGTGGAAGAAATGTGCCGATCACAGCGGCCGCGCGGTCTAAGGCACGAACTCTCTTCGCTCGCTCGAACACTGGGATCGTAGGCTCGAATCCCACTCAGGGCATGGATGTCTGTGTTGTGTGCGTTTATTCTATGTTCTGCTGTGTGTATGTAGAGGCCTTACGATGGGCTGATCACCCGTCCAAGGAGTCCTGCCGGCTGTATATAGGATGAAGAAACTGAAAAAGCGGCCAAGGACCAAATAAATGGCCGTGGAGCTATAATAATAATAATAAAAAAAATGTGTATACAAAATACCACTCCAGAATGCATCGCTGGAAGAAGAGACGATGTGAAATTCTCAGTAGCAGTGTCATGTGTATATTTCTCGTATTCTCACCTGAATATCATGAAGTTCAAACGGAATTTTGTTAATTTTATGGACAAGGAGACCAGTGCTACAAAAGTTTACACAGTTCATTAATATTAATGTCGATTAGAGCTAAACATCCTGTTGAAACACTGTTCTAAACATTTCTAAATAAATATTCACTAGTTTCGCAACAGTAAATCCGTATCAGCAATAAATGTTCGATGGGAACGTATTGTAAAGCGTAGGTATTCCACTAGTTTTTATATGATACATTCCAGTTTCACAGTTTCGCTATATGATATGTGGAGATTTTTGGGGATAGCGATTAGCTACGGGCTGGACGACTGAGGGGTCGGAGTTCTAGTCCCAGTGAAGTCAAGAATTTTCTCCACGATGTCTGGGGTCCATACGACCTCCTATCCAAAAGGCCACCGTGGGACTTTTCTCCGGGAGTAAAGCGGCCGAGGCGTGAAGCTAACCACTCACCTCCAGCTAGTGCTGAGGTCAGGAAAAATTTGGATATATACAGTCCCCCATGCGCGTTCATGGCGCAGTGATTAATTAATTAAGCACAGGGACAAATCTACTTTTACCTGTTAATTAAGTCAGGAGATTTGAAAGCTAACGAAACAGAACGTCGCAATCTCGACGTGCGAACCTGAAGAGAACCCCCAAGCCCGCAGTGACTGTAAAAATATGCGCATGACGTCAGTGACGAGACATGACGAATATTTATCGAAATCTGGGACACCGCTTACGTTGTCGCGTTGTGTTTTTTTCTGAACATATTTAGAGACCATGGTAATACCATGATACAACATATTCACATTTTCTGACTCTGAGGACCTGTAGCAACGTCAGCTATTACTACATTTCCTTCGAGCGCCAATTTAGTCAGTTGCATGATAATGTACTTAGAAATTCATTGATAACGTGTCTTAATGAATTGTTTGAATGTTATGCATTTCTGTGTTAAGAGGCTAATGGAACCTCCAATTATTCTTTTGTTTACCGGACTGCTGACTAGAAGATCCTGGGACCGGTCATCTCAACAGATTTTCTTGGGGTGTGCGGTAGCGTACTTGGTTGAGGGGCTATGCTACAAGCCGGAAGGTCGCGGGTTCAAGGTCCGATGAGGTCACTGGATTTTTTCAATTGACCTAATCCTTCCAACCGCACTATGGCCCTGGGGTTCACTCAGCCTCTAACAGAAATGAATACCAGGAATTAATTAAATAATTTTCCTGGGAAGTAAAGCGCGGCCGGCGCGTAAGGCTGACAACCTTACTGCCATCTTTGAGCCGATTGTCTAGATAATGTGGGACCCTCAACGTCTCACAACCCTATGGGCCTTCACGGCCTCGTACAGGGATAGCTTTACTTTTCTATAAGTACAGTATCTACACATTTCTTTATTAATAAGTCATTGGACCACTTTTGCCTTCAATACAGCCGCAATCCTTCTTGGCCTGGACTTGTACAAGTCTCGAGCAGTCTCTAGCGGAATTTTATACCATTCTTCTTGAAGAACATCTTCTCAAGTTACTTTGGAGATATTGGAGGTGGGAACCTGTTCCTCACTTTAGTCTCCAAAACTGACCTCAGTGGTTCAGTGATGTTCTAATCTGGTTATTGTGCTGGACAGGGAAGATGCTGAAGTTCACCTTCATGCTCTTCAAACAATGACTGAAGAGTTCCAGCTGTGTGAATGGAGGAACTGTCATCTTGGAAAACTGAATCGTTGCTCGGAAATGACGTCTGGATCAATCAAAACAAGTAACTATTTGTCAGCTCAGAGTGAAATTTTCTAGCTGTTACTTATTTCGCTTAGTGAGGGGGTGGAGTCCAACTGGGTCCACTCGGCACGGCGGCCACTGATTGGCCTATTGTACCTGCCCCGGGTGATTATGATGATGGAGAATTTGGTGGAATGAAGATTGACAGGGGAAGACGAAATACTCGGAGGAAACCCGCCCCAGCGCCACTTTGTCCACCAAAAATCCCATTTGACCAGATCCGGGATCGAACCCGGGCCGCCGCGGTGGGAAGCCGGCGACTAACCGCTTGAACTATGGCGTGGCCTTTCATTGTTNCCACTTATACACGGTGCCAAATCCCAGAAGACTGCTTTCTTCACTTAAATGTTATTCATTTTGAAAAGAAAAACATATGTTTCGGTTATTCATATTCAATAAACAGGTTGCGGGGCGCGTCTCGTAGCTGGAATAGGTTGCACGCAACGGGATAAGATGACAGCGGTAAAATGCAGTATTCTCCAATTTTTAACAACGAGATGAGAGAAGTAAATTCCAGTGTAGAAGAACTGCAGCTGATGTACCCAATATGAAATGACGAAAACTGGCTTCAAGAGCTGCATTTTCAAATGGTAGAAGAACGAAGCTTCCAACAAGTCTGACAGCAAGGCTTGTTTAAACGTTATTACTACATAACTGTCGACATACCGTATTAGGGTTAGTAAATATACTCATTTGTAGGGTCAGTTGATGGAAATTCATTGTTCTGTTAAATACTTGTTTGTTTAATTCCTGCATTGCTGTGTTAGTTCACTCAATAACCGAGCTTGTTGAAATAAAAGTAATCAGTATAATACTGACAAAATGTGGCTGCCTCACCTGGAGGGAAGTTTTCTCAACACTGAGCCTGGAGCGGCGCCCACTCAAAATTTGTGTTTTCGTCGCCAGTATCCCGAACGAATTCATCTTGGGGCTGGACATACTGGGCGCGGATGATGCATCTGTGAACCTAGGGCGCCAAGTGTTGCGTCTTGCAGACGAAAAGTTATAGTTATGGAGCCCTGGGGTGGGACCCTGGTCCGAGACCGCCGGGAGGTACCCATGAGGGTCCTGAGTGCTACACATCGCAACCAGAAGCTCACGAAAGGATCTTCCATGGCACACAGTGAGCCAGTCACGTTGATGAGCCACCCGATGTGGAACAATCGCAGGTCCGAGACACTATCCCGAAGTTACAGGACGTGATATCAGCGACCAGGCCTATCCTGAGTGACGCTGAATCCCAAGAGTTGGAAGAGCTCCTCACTGAGTACGGATACATCTTTGCTATGGACAGCGATGACTACGGACGGACTGACAGAATGGACCATCGTGTAGATATGGGAGAGGCCTGACCGATTTGCCAACCCCCGAGGAGGTTCCCCCTAGGAAAACAGGCGGATGTGGGCGAAATGCTCGAGGACATGCAACGACGTGGGTTCATCGAAGAGTCAGGCAACCCCTTTTCATTTTTCCGTCCTTCTCCTCCGGAAGAAGAACGGGGAATTCCTCTTCTGCGTGGAGTACAGGAAACTGAAGACTGTTTCCCACTGCCCTGGACTGACAACACTCTGGACGCTCTGGCTCAAGTCAAGTGGTTCTCCACCCTGAACCTGAAAGAGCAGGTACTGGCAGGTGGATCTCCATCCGGACGACAAGGATAAGGCTGTGTTATCGACGAGTCAAAGGCTGTAGTAGTTTACGGTCATGCAATTTTGCCTCTGCAACGTTCAAGCGACGTCTGAGCGATTAATGGAGACCGTCTTAAGAGGCCTCACTTAGGAGTCATGTCTCGTATACCTGGACGACGCGATCGTGATTGGCCACACGTTCCAAGAGCACATGCTCAACCTGCAGAAAGTGTCCCAGATGTTCCGAGAAACCCGCCTAAAGCTCAATCCGGAGAAATGGCAACCCTGTCGGGAGAAAGTGCGGTAACTCGGACATGTGTCACCAGACCCGGAGAAGCTGAGAGCCGTACGTCATTGAACCGTATTGTGGATCAATTGAATTTAGTTTACAGTCTGAAAGTCGGTATGGTATCTCTCAAGATCCACTTTAACAATATCTTCCCATTCATACCTTTCCCTCTCAACTGGTTAATTTAAATCATCTGATAACATGACAATTTGTCACAGTCATTAATATCTAAGGAGTGGTTGAAAATTAATAGGATTATGATTAATTCAAAGGAAATTAAAATAAATGGAATAGAGGAAACCCGTTTAGAATTTTAATAAGGTCATAGGTAAATGGGAAATTTTATCAACCAGAGGTACGCCCTTGGATTCGACGAAATTGACTTCTATCACTTCCACCCCGGGGTCACGTTCTTGGCATTTCAAACCTGACTGGATGAGAGGCAAGTGGAATTAAAATGACGTAAATTTGGAAATGATGTAGCGTCCGACTCGCAGACGAATCCCTGTGGGGGTCTTGGTAAATCGATATTCTGCACGAAGCTACCGCATCTATTGAGTGGGTATTGTCAGCCACGTTTCTGTAGTGGATAAAAATAAAGGCCGTCTCGCTGAGGCTGAATGTACGAGATATTTGTGAATGGATTACCTTGAAAATTAATAATATATGGGAAGGGAGGGGGCGAAACGCGAGTTCAGGTGTGTATCTTGGGTTTTTCTTTTATTGC